TTATACCCTTTTCTTTTACCTTATGGCAGGTGAATGGAAGGATTCAGTTCAAGGAGTCTGTTGCTCACTGTGTACCTCTGTAATCCATCCTCATTAGAAATTAAATATACACCAAGTCAATTATCAATTAAGTGACAAGTTGGATAAACATTGTAGGGTCTAATTGACCCCTCAAGGGTTCTTTGAAGTTTCCTCAGCTTCTCCAGTTTCTTTGAAGTTTTGTTTTGGCTTCGGCAAGTCACTGCTTATATTGATTAAAGAATGAAATTGTGTCAGGTTAATAGGGACAAAGTAAGTATAATCACAATTTTCTTTTGCCCTTCAATTGTACTCTACTAGTAATCCAGATATGCAAGAGGGTAGAGTTATGCTGCCTAGTGAAAAATATAATTTAAGTCTTAGAAAAAGCCTAACATAAGAGATTTGTCCTTGATATAATAAAATAGGCTTAATTCAAATCAGACAAGAAGCATGTTTATTTTATTGTCATCGAAGATTCCCAGGGAGGGAAATTATACAACCTGTTTATTCTATTTGTGTTATTTCCATTAAGTATTCTTCTGTCTATGTTACTCTAATCATTATCTTAATCCAATCAATATTGGTTGTGTTGGGAAGTGTGGGGTTTCTACATGGTGGCACATGCCTGAATAAATGTGGAAGGAAAAGCAAACCCATGCCAGCATGAATACAGACACATGTTCAGCCTGAAAAAAATTGAAGGATGCTGCAAAAAGGCGAGGAGGCCAAGATGGACTGACTGGTTGGGGTTATGACATAAAAGGCTTTGAATGGCTTGCTAAGGTATTTTAGTCTCATACTGATGGACGCAGGCTTAATCATTGAAAGGTTTTAAGGAATTGAAGTGTTTAAATGTGGTTTTAGGACCCATTTTAAATGTATATATTATTTTTTGTTTCCTTTTCTACTTCACACATTCCCTTTAATAGAAGATGAATAGACTTTTCCTAATATGTGAGTGGATATTGTAAAGATGGTAAATGCTCCTCAGTGGTTCTCTACCAGGACTATGTAGTCCTAATCCCTTTTGTCATATATTTTTAAATTTAAAACGATAGTAGGTTAACTCTGAGATAAATTACATTTTCTTTCATTTTGATATTTCTAGAGGTATAACATACATGCAACACTCTCAAATCACTCCATTTAAAAAAAAAGGAAAAGCTTGGCTAGCTTCACTGCTACACATTTATTTAATTGCTAGAAAAATCATAACTACTGGACTGTGTTGCAAAATCAACTAGTGAACACCAATCTCTATTACAGTAAGGCATTGATAGAAAGCCAGCCTATGTAAAATTACATATATAAAATGAGAAGCTAGCTAGTAAAAACAACAACAGCAACAAAATATTCATTTGATTTACATATAGTTGACAATGTTTAAATTAGTAATTTACTTTGTATTTAATATACGGATAATTGTGGCACACTACATTATTCACTGCATTTAGACTGCTTCTACTGTAGCCTTGGCAACTCTTACATAAAATGTAGCTGAATTGGTATTTTCACTCAAAATTAAATGAAAATAAAGATAATCCTATTATTGTTCTTAACTATTTCCCAAATAGCTTTTTTTAGAGTGCCCTTGCTTACATGTTCTGTCTTTTAAAAGTAGATTATTGTAAAATTATATGTGTCTGTGCACTCACTCCACTCATAGTCATTAACTCTGTACTCCTGTTTCTGAGGCATAACTTTGTGCTTCAGAATAGGTTACTTCCACCTACACCACTACTTAGTATTTTTCTTGCAATTCAAAAATGGGTAAATCTTTCAAATATATCAATTTAGGCCATTAAACATTTCAAAGACTGTCACTCTAAAATTACTCTAAAATAATAGTCTTTTAAAGATAAGCCATATCATGCATTTATATAAATCTTAAAAGGGCACTTCAAGTTATTCTGTTATATAATTTAAATGTGCTGGTGTATGTTTCAATAAGTGTTTAGGAAATTCATCTCCTTTTCAGCCTTCATTTAAAAGTAACGGAAAGATGCAACTTCAATTTCAAAGCAGTCCCACAGTCATGCCAAGATATTTATTTTGTAATTATGGTAAATACTAAATGTCACCCAAAAAGCTTTATTTTCTCTGACAATCTATTGATGCTATATGTATAGTAAATTGCTTTTCAAATGACCCATCTCCTTTATGCTAGCTATCTGTTCAAGGTTTTAGGATCACACCCACTGTCCTAAAACAGTCAAAGGTAATTTACTGACAGAGTATTATACTTCAGACTTGGATTATACTTTTAAGGGAGACTGTAGGATAGTGAAAAGAAATTGGAGTTTGGAGTCAGAGACCTTGAAATTGAACCACAGCTCTGCTAAGTACTATGTAACCTTTGCCATTGTTACCCTTTGGGCATCCCAGTTTCTTCATCAACAGTTAATAGTATTACCTACCCAAAAGCACTTTTGTGCCAAGAAAATAGGACAATATAAATCATCATGAGAATATAATTACTAAGATAACTCTGTCTGTAACAATGACTAATAAAGACAATAATCAACATTTATCAGATGTAAAGCCATACAGGGTCGATGTTACCACCATTTATTCTACTTTCCTCTCAGATATTCAATCCTTGTGCCTTGGTAGGTTTCAGAGATCTGGAAAAAAAATTATCTGCCAGTCTGAATTCAAGCAACAGAAGGATGGGGGCAATTCCTTTGGGTAACCACACCAACATTCACTAAATAACAATAATTATTATTTGGCCCTGTCAGAACACACAGATTGCAATAATCCCACTTGAAATCACAGTAAAAAAAAAAAAAAAAAATCAAAACAAAGAAATAAACAAACAACAAAATAGAAACTTTTGAGCATATTCATGACTCCATCCACATAAATTTTCCAAATCCGACCTGAAGGTAGTTGGAGTACCTCTGCTAGAGGAAGACTCAGGTAGAAATTCAGCAAAAAGGAGGAGAAAATACAAGAGGAATCAAAGGAATTAGAAAAGAAGAAACAGACAAAACTAAGACAAATATTCCCTAATCCTCCATCCTTATCATTAATGAAAAGTCAATTAAATGAAGGAGCTTTTCCCTACTCAGTAGTAAATTGTGAGTTTGTGTACAAGTCATTCTTATTCTTTTACAGGTTTTGTGAGTCTCTCATCTTTAATCCTCTAATTTTATTTCAGACTTTGATATTGACACCTTCATCTTAAAGCTTTCTTTTTTAATATAAACTATTTGGTTAAAGCCTTCTCTGATCGTAGATTACAGAATCATTGAAAAGTATGCTTCACTTTTTTTTCTCCCTCTCCCAATGTGACATTTTATCATCAGATCATCAGTTAGTGTTCCCTATCATTTGAATATTTTATAAATAAGACTTTCACATTAATCATATAGTTTCTGAGAATCAATCATTCATTTTGTTTTTCAATTGTTTTCTGAAAGCCACAGTAATATCTTTTTAAAGCTAGGAAGGTGCTGAATCACTTGTGTCTCTTATAATTTGCAGGGAATAGGCACACAATAGACGTTTACTGAATAATAGAAAAATGAGAGAATAGAGCCTAATCATTTAGAAACAATTGTCTTCTTCAAGGTTGTGAGGAATGTCACTGGCAGAACTTATACTGGAATGTGGGTCATCCAACTATCAGATCATTATTTGTTTTCTGTACTTCTGATGTTACATGGAATACCATGCAAATGATTTAATAATTTCAACATTTTTTCTTGTGTTTAAAGTTCTAATTGTATAATATATGATAAGAAAATGGATAAACTTCCTCAACATGAAATTATTATCCATGATGAATAAAATTTAAACCAAAGATCACAGGGGCAATTTTTTTTTCTTAATTGAATTAAATACATAGAATTAAATTAATTACCCTTAATTGAAGTAATATTTAATATAAGGATAATAAAAACTAAAGGAAGAAAGTATTTTATCCATGGCTATAATGCTTTGAACCTAAAGTTTTAGAAAATATATCAAGTAAAATAATTAGCTTAAAACAGATGGTCATATTAAGAACATGTTTAGCAATTTTTTGCAAACTTCGATAGATCTACTGAAATACGAACAATCACTTATTTTACATTCTCCTTTTCTTATGTATAAATGACTGTTCCTGCTGTGTTCCATCATAGTTTGACTTAGAAATATAAATATATACACTCAAGCCTTCTTCAAGGTCTGAATAGATAGTATGCCATTTCTAAAAGGCTAGGAAATTAAATAATTAAAGAAGTTATTTCACTACATATTACTTAATTAGAGATATAAATTAAGCATTTAGATATTTACTCTTTTAATTCTCCTTTTTAGGTTGCACTTACCAACACAGCTCAAGGAGTTTGTTGAAATCAAACCTAAATAGATAGTAATTAATTAGATCCTGTGTTCTGTCTCCACTAGCTTAAAAACCAGAGAACTCGTCATCTGTTGATGTACTTTATCCATATGTTGGACTAGTATTCATGTTATCCTAATTTGCCTATAACATTCTTCTCTCCACCACCATACCTTCAAAGGGTTTTTTTTTTTTTTTTTTTAATTTGGTGCACTGTGTTCAAGAAGGAGCAGAAATATGTGAGCATGCTTCTGTACCAGAGTCTATAAAGGCTTGGTCATATGAAATTTAAAAAAAGACAAAAAATCCTCAATCTAAAGATCTGTTCTCAGTGATCAGCTAGAGATCAACTCCAAAACTAACTTAGCTGCCCTCTTTTGTGGTACTTTAATGTAGTCCAAAATGAGGGAACATTAAGTACATAGATTGTGGATAACTTCTCCACCTTGAAATACCACCACAATGACATCATAGAAATTTCACAGTAGGTCACAGTATCATGACTTTGTTGTAGCCAAAGTAATAAGGCAACAAAGGAGCATTAATGTTTGTCAATTAATGTTCAGTGAAAGAAATTTCATATAATTTTTTTTAGGGAAATGTGCGAACACATTAATTCCATGTGATCACATTTCTTCTCTAGGACTTACCATATAGATGGTGCTTCTGTTCCACTGATCTCTAAGAAATCATATCCTTCTTCAAGTTGAAAGTCAGTGAAGACTAAAGCAATGGTGTCCCCTGGCTCTGCGAGAATGGTCCATGTACAGTCAGCATTGTTTTCATATTCTGAAGGGAAGTGGGGGCTGGAAATGGTGCTGCTTGTTCCACGTAAAGTTCCTCCACAAGCTCCTTCAGCTAGTAGGAATGAAAACAAAAGAAAGCAAAATTATTTTTACAATGATTTTCATACATTTTTTTCATCAGTGATAGATATTTTCTAAACTCAAAGCTGAGGCATTTAAATCTGAAGAAAGATTTCTTCCAATTTGTTAATTTAGTTCTACAAAAGGCTTACAAAAGTCTAACAATTAAATCATATTGTTAACTAGATTGCCATTGTTGTTGTTGTTGTTATTTGCTGTTGAGTCAGACCCTATTCATAGTGTCCCCTCCTTGGGTTTCTGAGGCGGTATCACTATGGGAGTAGATTGCCCAACCTTCCTTCCGAGGAGTGGCTGGTGGGTTTGAACCACCAACCTTCCGGTTAGCACTCAAGTGCCTTACTCATTATGCCACCAGAGTATTACCTCAATAACATTAAAAAAAAAAAAAAAAAGCTTCCATTAACTTTCCTCAGGTAGCAGGTTCTTTATTTGTTTGCTTGCTTGTTTTTGTTTGTTGGGGGGTCAGAAGTTGGGCTTCATGAAAATATTAGGGTATACCATAACAGGCCAGAAACAATGAGAAGGTGATAAAAATTCCTTTGGACAGGCTGCTTTTAGTTTAGTACGAAAAACCACAGATGTATGGGGAGTGTTGCATTCTCAAAGTTTGGAATACTATGTTTTCCTTTCTTTCTGTAGGACTCTGTGCTAGTGTCTAAACTAAAAACGCTCACTGCCGTAGTCTCTAGCGACCCCTCCTTGTGTTTCTGAGGCAAGTGTCACACTATGGAAGTAGGTTGCCCAGTCTTTCTTCTGAGGAGTGACTGATGGGTTTGAACCATCTGCCTTTTGGATAGTAGTCGAATGCCTTAGGCATTACGCCACCAGAGCTCCTGGTCTCTACACTATGCTTACTTAATGCTACCAAATTTTGTCAGGTAACTTAAATTACAAGTTCAGAAGTGATTCTATATTGAGATATACTCACAAGACAACTGAAAATCTTATGTATCATTACTCTTGTATAAGAAAGAAAGAGTATTTGAAGAATTTGTTGTCTTTTGTGTTCATAGTTTGGTATGAATCCAAAAGCATATAACTTTAGAGAAGACCTCAGAGATTTTGAAGAAAGCCCCAAAACACCTCCATTTTTTTAATAAGTATTATATATTCTGTATTAAATTCTTTTTAAATTATAATTATACTTTTATAATCAATAAATACTAAGTAGAGTACTTATACATTGTTTGCTATATTTATACTGTTTACCTTTAAAATATTAAGACTTAACATGACACACATATACACTAAACATACATATATATATATAAGCACGTAAAAGATAATTTGAAAATCATGACAAAAGATAGGTTGACTGTATACCAAAGAAACCCAGACTCACTGCCATCTGTTTGAATCTGACTCATAACAACCCATCCTTGGGTTTCTAAGGTGGTATCTCTATGGAAGTAGGATCAAATGTACATTCAGACCTATTTCCTCCCTTCATCACTCACTAACATTTGTGATCACTCTAGAATCAGTTCCACAACTGTCCTGCTGTGTATATATTTGCATTATTCTCAGGAATAGATAATAGGAATGTGATTTTAGGTGGCCTACAATGACTATTTACACATCCTTCTATTAAAATTATATTTAAAAAATAGGACAACACACAAAAATTTGGTTCCATAATACTAAAAATTATATATTCTCACCATGAATAATAATAATAAATAAGTGGCTATTAGTGAACTATTAGAAAGCTCTGGTGGCATAGTACCTAAGGCACTTGATGGTTAACCAGAAGGCTGGCAGTTCAAACCCACCAGCCACTCCTCAGAAGGAAGGTTGGCAATCTACTTCCATAGTGATACTGCTTCAGAAACCCAAGGAGGGGTCGCTATGAGTCAGGTCCGACTGAATGGCACATAACAACAACAACAACAACATTAGCGAGGTTCAAACTTTTTGCAAAATTAATGCTTTGCCTCTTGGTTTGGGAAAATGGTAAGATCAAACAAAAGTGAGACTTACAGTGATTTTTGTTATTCCTGAAAATTAAATAAAATATTTCCTTTTTATATATAGGTAGATGAGATAGAGTAGTTAATTTTGGACAGCTATTTACATTTGCTATTGCCCAACATTCCTTGGAAGAAGGTTGGGAAATTTACTTCTATAGTGATACTGCCTCGGAAAACAAAGGAGGGGTCGCTGAGTCAAGTCCAACTCAATGGCACATAACAGCAACAACAACATTGATTAAACAATTGTGTCTGTAAACATATCACATTTATAGATAGATAGATAGATATAGATAGATAAAGATAATATCCATATTATTATAGTTTTTCACATATGAATATACATACCCCCATGATATAATTATTTTTGATACTTAGGTTTTATTCTTTTTTGTTTGTTTATTTGTATTATATACTATATATATATATATATATCCACATAATACACTTTTTATACTTAGATTGTATTATATTTTCTATTTATATTATGTGCTACAAAAATTGTTATTTAAATGTAAGAATGAAAGAGTTGCAGCTCTTTATTAGATAAAAAGATGAAAAGTCATAGATGAGTGGATTTAAAAGTTATCAAAATTCAATATTGTGTTTGGATGATTAAATGAAATGTATTTGTTTTAATTCTACTTCGTAGCTTTCATAAATGGCTTATAAGGTAACTTACTGACATATATTTACCATCCCCCAAGAAATGTTTTAGAAAGAACTGAAATTTTCGGAAGAGGTGCCCTAAGAGACTGATGAAGGCTGCTTATTGTTCAAAACACTTTAAAATGGGCATGTTTACATGAACAGTTTAATGTCTGCATAAAATAAGAGTTAATACAATAAGAAACATAACTATGTTTTCGGAGAATATCTAGGTAACCTTGATCAAGCACATGGGAAATGTTAAAAATATTTGTCAAGAAAATGATGAAAATCAACACTCTGTCAGTCTGTACTAGTTGCTGGACTGTTAGAAAGTTTTATGACCTGGGGGAGGTAGTCTAATGGTCTAAGGACCTGGGGAGATAATTTTACTCCAGGAGCTCATAGAAAACCAGCCCACTGCCAATGATTCAATTCTGACTTATAGATCGAATCTGACTTTATGATTTTCAAGGCTGTAAATCTTTAAGGAAGTAGATTGTCTCATCTTCCTCCTGCAGAGCAGCTGGTGGGTTTGGACCATGGACCTTCTGGTTAGCAACCAAATGTTTTACCCACAGAGCTCCTTTTTGTTGTTGTTGTTGTGTACCATCGAGTCGGACCCAACTCATAGAGACCCCTCCTTGGGTTTCTGAGGCAGTATTACTATGGAAATAGATTGCCCAACCTTTCTTACAAGGAATGGCTGGTGGTTTTGAACCACCATCCTTCTGGTTAGCAGTCAAATGCCTTAGGCACTACGCTAGCAGAGCTCCTTAGGGACCTATATAGGGGAATTTTAATATTTTAACACTGATGCCTACCAACAGAATATTAACCCTGATCAAATTATCTTACCTCACAGAGATCATCTTCAATTTTCAATGACAGTGGTTAACATGTATAATCTCCAATGTCGCTTCTAAGTCTAATATTTTGATTCTCTGAGTCTGAGGTTTAATTAACAATTATCTAAGTATCTAAATTTCCACAGGACTTTATTTTAGGCTTTGAACATACCATAGGAGAACCATATTTTATCAGACAGGAGAGTGAATATTGTGTCTCTCTGCATTAATTCCAGATAAAGTGGAGCAATATTTAAAGGAAAAAGATAAAATGGTGAAATCTAATGGCAACTTTATTAGTAATAAGAGTTGTTATTTGCCATCGAGTCAGCCCTGACTCCTAGCGACCCCTCCTTGGGTTTCCGAGGCAGTTATCACTACGGAAGTAGGATTGCCCAAC